AAGCATGTGCACACGGACAGGAAGGAAGCCAAGCACCACCCAGAGCTGTGCCTGCGCCAACGTTCACTGAACAGAGGCCAAGGGCCTCTCACTGATCTGCACAGGAGCCCGAGAGTGACTGCATGTTCTCAGCACTGCACGAACAGCAGAGTAGCCATCGTGGGGAGTGGAGCCCAGCCCCCCTGCAACCCTGGCGCCTTCAGAGAACATCTTGTAACCAGGGACCCAGAAGTCCTGTCTCCCAGAGAGAAAATGTCCCTGTGTCGAGCAGGCGCACTCCCTTACATGTCCTCAGGCAGGTAGGTCTCCTGATCAATTTGGACATCCACATCTTTTTTGGTGGCAATTTTGTACATTGGGATTGCTTTTTGCACCGCAGCCTAGAAAAACAGAAAGCAATGAGAGGTTTAGGCAGAGAAGTAAGGATCTTCCCCAAATAAATGAAATAACCAACAAACTACGCATACATGTAAGGCTATTTATTCTTCTGTGTCTCAAGTCCAAGAATACACAGCAGTGGCTAACCGTAACGCAAGGTCAGCACCTCGAAGCCACCCCCCCACTCCGCAGGAGCAAGCAGAGGCGTCCTTCTCCGTGCGGGGCAGTTCTTGACCTGTCCTACAGGTTGACAGTCACAACTTGACGGCAGAGGTGGGGTTTTTTGGTTCACCATTAGTGAAGCGAAACATAGTCAGCTGAAAAGTCCTATCCCTGAACACTCTAAGACACAGCCTAGTGCCTGTGTGTCAACAGCATTTTCTGGAAGGAGTTGGAGGCTGGTATTTTTCTCTGACAATACTGCAGGAATGGCTGCAGGGATTAACACGTCCCTGCTCCTCAGACCAAATGCAGCACCACTGGGGGGAGCGGCTCACTGGCCTCGGGCTCTGGGAGCATCTAGAGAGGGCTCACAGTGGGCACTGCTTGGTGAACTCTGCATTAGAGTGCGCAGGCCTGTTTAGGGTTCATGAGCAAAGGTGTCCATATCAACGTGTCTCGCAGTCAGAGGTGGTTTATGGGCTGGAAACCCACTGGTGACAAGGTCAGTGTCACCGAAAGGAATGGACACCTGCCTTCTCCAGCTTTCTGAGGCCCCCTGTATTCTTCACAGAAGCCCCCTTCCCTAGGAGACACGTTACATGGGGAGGCAAATTCCACTAAGAATGCAAATGCAAGTAAACAAGCGGCCATCTAGCTGAGAAGCAACAAAGTCCACGTGGAAGAAGCACCAGCCTGTGTGACCAAGAAGTGTCGAAGGGATCAGATATCAGGCATCAAAGAACAAAAAAATCATATCATCGTGAATGAGGGGGAGTGCAGAGTGGGGACCCAAAGCCCACCTGTAGGCAACTGGACATCCACTTACAGAAGAGTCGCAGGGAGGAGACGAGTCAATCAGGGTGCAGTGTAGCAACATACAACTTTCCTCTAGTTCCTGAATGCTTCCTCCCCACCCACTATCATGATCCCAATTCTACCTTACAAATGAGGCTAGACCAGAGGATGTACACTGGTACAGATAGGAACTGGAAACACAGGGAATTCAGGACAGATGATCCCTTCAGGACCAGTGGTGAGAGTGGCAATACCGGGAGGGTGGGGTGGAAAGGGGAACCGAATACAAGTACCTACATATACCTCCTCCCTGGGGATGGACAACAGAAAAGTGGGTGAAGGGAGATGTTGGGCAGTATAAGATATGACAAAATAATAAGTTTTAAATTATCAAAGGTTCATGAGGGGGGAGGGAGAGGGGAAAATGAGGAGCTGATACCAAGGGCTCAAGTAGAAAGCAAATGTTTTGAGAATGATGATGGCAACAAATGTACAAATGTGCTTGACACAATGGATGGATATATGGCTTGTGATAAGAAATGTATAAGCCCCCAATAAAATGATAAAAAGAAAGGAAAAAATGCAAATACATTGTATTATAAATGCATCAACATAATATGAATTATACCATATATACTCATGTATAAGCCAAGTTTTTCAGCACATATTTAATGCAGTTTTGTGCTAAAATTAGGTGCCTCGGCTGATATTTGGGTCAGCTAATACTCGCATATATACAGTAATAAGAACTCAAACCTTTGCCTTAACACACACTACATAGAAAAATATTCATCTGAAGAGCAACCTGGACACACAGAGCCAGAGCCAGGGGAGTCCATTAACCGAAACCCAAACCAGATGCTGTCTCATTGCCTGTAGGATGAGCTCATAGGGTTCCCAAGGATCGGCCCGGGGGTTGAACTGACTGCCTTTCAGTGAGCACCACGCAGGCTCCTGAGAGGAGTTCATCATGTGGCTGAAAAGCGAGGTGCCCACAGCTCCTCTGCCTGAAGCCCCCACCAGTGTCCCCACCCTGGGCCAGATGGGTCACGTCCTCAGCCCAGGGCGGCTTCTCTCCCAGGTAACACACACACAGGAGAATTCTGTGGCTATTTTTTCACCATGGCCTGACCGACCACCTTTTTCTGACACCCACGTCCTTGCTCTCGGTAGCATGGGAGAGCCATGACATGCTGGCCTCTCTAAGGGGTTGCCTCCTCTCAGTCGCCCCACTCCAGTGGGAGGTGCTTTCAGGTGAGGCAGCACAGCGCCCACAGAGGGCCAGTGGACCTCTTGAAGAAATAGCCCAAGGAGGAAGCCCAAGTGGAGATGCAGTAAACTATACCAGTGTGCAGACTCCTCAGATCACCCATTAGAGCAGGTGCTGCAACCCGAACACTTGGACCTTTAAAGAGAGCGAGCAAGCATGTGCGCACGCGCCATTTCTTTACCTTCACCAGAGGGAAGTCCTGTTTCCTGCAGCGAACAATCATCCGGGGCTCCAGCAGCTGGTACAAACCCTAGGGGAGACCACCAGACAGAACGGTGAGAAACCACCACGAGGTGACGCAATAGCAGAGGAAAAGGTCTGTCACTCCTTTCAGAGCACGGGAAGGTCTTGATAGTGCAGGTCAGATAAATGCTTCCATGGGCTCTGGGGATGTTTGGAGAAGGTCCACATGGGAGTCTACCTGATAGCCAAGAGAGGACAATGACTACTTCAACACCGCCGCCCGGCCTGGCAGCAAGCAGACCGGCTGAAATGGATAGTTTCGGGTTGGAACGACAACATGGGTACTCTGTGTGTGTGTAGGGGTGGTGGTGGGGTGGTGGCAGGGATTCATACTAAGAATGTTCAAAGCTGAAGGCTGTAAGCAACTCTGACTCCCATTATAAAAGCCTGGACACAGTAGGCGATCAAACAGATGTGATTAGCCTCCTATGCAACACATATTTCTCCCGCAGACAAACAGGGAAACCGAGGCGAGCAAAGAGGACCCCCAGAGCTCTCTCTGAGGTGCGGCCCGTGGTCAGAGTGCTGCCCCGGCCTGGAAGGGTACCTGGAGGACCAGTCCGTCCAGCAGCACTTGGTACCTGGTCGTATCTTTCACCACCTTGCTGAGTCTCTGCTTGGCTTCACTGAGCAGGCCCTACAAAGAAGGGCAGAGGGAAACATTCTCTGTGTGCACAAGCAGCTGGTGCAGAACGCACAGCGAGGCTGGTCCTGTCCCGCCCAGAGGAGCCAACTTCCACTGCTGGGGTTTCACTCGGTTCCGGGCGTCCCTGAGGCTCCAAGCACCCCAGCCCCGCGCCCCAGGAATGCAGTCAGGGAAGAGGAGCTCCCATGTCAGGCAGTTCAGACACTGAGTGTCACGGGCAGATTTTATGACAGAGATTTGAAAACAAGCTATTGAGATCATTACAAAATGTCCCACCACAACTGAGAGAAGAAACAAAACCAATCAACCAACAATACCAGATAGGTATACACATCAAAATACCAATGGCTACCTCTGGGAGGTAGGCTTATCAGTGACTTCAGGTTTCTCTATGTTAGCTGGTGTTTTCTCACTGACTGTGCTGCTCTTGCTATGACCGACTATCATGTTTCAGTGACAAACCATCATCCGACTTGTTAAGGATCTTCTTTATCTGAATATTCTACCCACTGCCCTCAAGTCAAATCTGCCTCCCAGAACTGGCCCCGCGGGCCACCGAGGCTGCAGATGCCTGCTCTTCCTCCCACAGAGCCGCCTTGGGCTCACACTGCTGACCTTCTGGGTAGCAACTCCATGCGTACGGACCCACGGGGCCAACGGGACTCTTCTTTCTCTAGGGCTAGGGTTCAAAGCCAGAACGACTCCGGGCCCAACCAGTTCTGGCTGCTGAGGCCAGAGAGAACAGTGAGCCGTCTGGAGGAACCTACCCGCCAAACGGTCTGCCAGGAAGAGCCCAGGGCCGCTCGGTTAGCCATTTCTTCCCCTGCCCGGCTTAAAAAAGTGAGACCCTCCTCCCCAGTAGGATCTGTCTGAAATCTGTTCACAGCCCTAATTCCATACAAGCAGGGATGGTATTACGATACATTCAAATTACAAATATGCCAAGACTTAACAATAATCAAGAGGGCCCATTTTAAAGAACAATTAAAAAAATTAAATACAAAGTAAAATAGATTCAAATACCTCAAAAGCACCACCCAGTACTTAAACATGGTACAAAATAACAAACTTGGCCCTTTCCCTCCTCCACACACCAAACTTTGCAAGAAAACTGGTTTCAGAGTCAAATCTGATGTTACACAACTGATTAATGGAACTACCAACACATTTGTGATTTCTTATGAAGATGGTTTCATATGCCCTATAAGTTTATTTGATAGGTATCCTGAGGAGCCATGTCACTCCAGTCAAGACTGTAGCGAAGACATTTCTAAAATTAAAAATAATAATAATGTTTTTTTTAAAGTATATATCTTTTTAAAAAATAAAATCTTTAATCTTTAAAAAAAAGTATATCTCACATCCTGTTATATGCCTGAACACCGTCTTAACCGGATTAAATAAACAAAATGCTTATATTGCACATTAGAATGTCTCTAGGATACTCTAATGGTACAACAGGTTAAGCGCCCCTGTGTTGACTGCAGTTACTGGATCAAGCCCATTCAGCAGCTCGGAGGGGCTGAAAAAGCTGGCCATCTGATCCCAAAGACAGCAGCCAGGGAGACCCCGCAGGGCAGTCGTCCTTGGTCACGCAGAATCGACTCAATAGCACTTAACAACAAGAGGACACGCAAAACCACTACATGAGAGAAAAAAACACTGAAGATATAACCAACGTGGCTTTTCTTATACCTGGAAATAAAGATTAAACATACTAAAAATGAGTTCCTGACAGAGAAGTGCAAAAGGGCTCTTCTCTCCAATGACAAAAATAAACCAGTTGACTTTGTTATGTCCAAAGTGGAAGGGTTGAAAAGAGTCCGGTAAGCAGTTTCTGTCTACCTTAGGGACGTGTGGCACCTAACTAAGCACCCTTTTCTTATTTCACGCTTGGTCACTCCGGTTGACCTGTCATTTTATATCGTTTCCTCACCCCGTCCAGGTTATATGGCTTGCTAAGTTGTAGGTAAATTAACAGCAGGAAGTTAGATGGGTAGGAAGCATGTAGAATAATAGAAATTATGTTTATTTTTACAAATTACTCACGATGACCCTTTCCCACTGCCATTCAGTTGATTCTGATGCATAGTGACCCCACAGTTTCCGAGAGTGTAAATCTTTATGGGAGCAAACAGCCTTCCATGGAGCGGCTGGTGTGTTTGAACTGCCAACCTTGCAGTTAGCAGTCCAATGCTTAACTGACAGTGCTACCCATTTTCTTGCCTATTAAATTCAACACTTCTCAGTTTTACTTGGTCTTCTTCTCTTAGAGAGTCATATCCATGCCAGTCTCTCCTCTGCGTCCCACACTCACTGCTCCCTGGCATTCCTAAGGTAATCCAAATGCAAAGCACTACCACTCCTCCTCACCTGTAGCTCCTCCTGTATCTCTAATCTTCACTCCCCCATTCTCTAACCCAGACCTTTTAGATCAGGCCTGACCCCTCTTTTTCTATTTACTCGTCACAACCAGAATTTCCTTCTGAAAGTCAAATCACTCTTTATTTAAAAGGATTTAAACTTACCAAATTATACCCAATAAATTTTTTCATTAAAACAGTAAATTCAAAAAGAAAAAAAACACTAATAAAAAGATAATTAAGGAAGGAGAGAAGAGATGGCGAGCACGTACTCCACAGTAACAGCATCAGAGGGAGCAGCAGGCAACCCTGCTGAGCTCCTGAAGACACTGCAAACACCTTTAGAGGGTCTTGACTCACCTCTTTAAGGTTCCGCCCTCCTCCTTGGATGCCTCCAAGCTTTGCAACTGGGTTTCTTGTTTCTGAGTTCTTCCCTGCTATGAACCTACACGCTCAGCCCATGAGCCCCACTTATGAATTCCCCATCCACAAGGGCAACTCCAATGACGGATTAAAAGCAGTGAACACCAGCGTACTGGTTGTAGAGAGACCAATGGGACCCCTATGGGGAGGCCCTCTGTCATTTGAGGTCTGGAGCTGTATCCCTCCCCTTACCAGTAGCAAAAGGGCAGCCTTTACCCAAGAACAAAGTTCCGAGAGCTCAGAAAGAAAGAAGAATGGAAAAGAAATACAGGAGGAAATAGGTTAAGGGACGGAACACTGAGGAGATGGCAATGAATGAGTTGAAACAAAACCATGCACGAACTGTTCAATGTAAAACTGATGATTTGCTTGGTAAAGTTTCACCTCATTCACAATTTAAAAAAAAAAAGGGGAAAAAAGCAGGTGACAGTCTTTGGCCTTGTACTAATGGTCCTATACCAACCCGCTACCCTGCCTCTTTAGCCTTATCACTCCGTTTCCTTCAGCATACTTTTTAGCTAATAGGGCAATTACTCACCATGATCAGGTCATCTCTCGCTCTGAGAACCTTTAGTCGTGCTTGATTCATCAAATTGGACATTTGGCTGCAAAATGTACGGGAAAATAGTCTGAGCCGAGTGTAACAATAAAACTTAATCTACAGCTTCCTCACAGCATTGCCGGGAGTCATGAGTCGGAACCGACTTGCAGCAGTTTCTAGGGCTATACATTTTCACAGTGAAGATTTGATAAGGGACAAACACGGTTTTTTAATGACCAACTGGTTTTTAGAAAACTGACTATTTTCACTTTCACACTCATGCCAGTTAAATTTTTCAACACTCCTAGGAGGTGTCCATGTTCACACATGATGCAAAGAGAGTTAAAAACCTTGCCCCAGGTCACAGAAAGCACAGGTGGCTGAGTGAGGACCTGCCCCCTCCTGTCTGGCTCCTCTCGGGCTCCTACTCGGTCCTCTTGTCCCAAAGACTGTTTTCTTTCTTTATACTCTGACTGTTGAAAGTGTCATTAGCTTAATACCGTGACAGGGTCAAAAAACAAAACAAAACAAAATACTGTGACAGGGTCTACTCACATTTTCTTCTGCTGCTCAATCTGCTTCTCCTTCTTCTCATAGTACTCCATGATCTTCAGTCTCTGGGTTTGCACCAGGCGGCCTTTCTCAATGTTGAACTCTTCTTCTGCCTACCGGACACATTCTCATGAATTCACGGTATCCAGATTTTTACAAAGCGTGGTAAACAGAGTGGTAGCACAACATCTGTCATCTCAAGTCTTCACGCACAATTTAATGAGCCCGTGCAAACCATCGCCATTGCTCATCTCCAAAACCTCCCACTCCTTAACAGAAGCGTAGGGTCCTCTATGCAGTGAATCTCTCTGCCCATCTACCTCCCTCTCGCCTGCTTTAGTAAGCAACTACCAGTCAGCTTTGGTCTGCATGCGCTTACCCATTCTAGATGGTCCACACAGGTGAGATACTACAGTATCTGTTCTTTTGCGACTGACTTACTTAGCATGATGCTTTTGTTTTGAATGAATTTTTTTATTGTGAGTTAGGTGGGAAGCATAATGTTATCAAGATTCATCTACTGATGGACACTTAGGTTGTTTCTAGCTTTGGGTTATCAGGAACAATGTTGTAATAAACACTGGAAAAATCAGGTAAAATTGCTGATTCCAGTATTGACACAGGTACTTGCACCTTATCTCAAAATAAATGGTTAGCACCTTTTATCTATAGCTATCACTAGAAATAAATATAGGTGACAGTGTTATAGAAGGTTAAGACCACTTTAAATGGAAATACATTTACTTGCTGTGATGGTTAACAGTTGTGTATCCACCTTGCTAAGCCATGATTCACAGTATTGTGTGTTGTCCTCCATTTGGTGATGTGATGTAATTGTCCTCTGTTTTGTGTTACTATGTCAACTAGCCTCCATTATATGTGCTGTACATTCTAACAACTGTCTGCTAATGAGGTAGGATTAGTGTGGGGTGCATTCTGAGTCATAGTCATACAAGCAGGCCAGACTCAAGTCACACCCATATTCTGTGACCCTTTTAGTCTGATTGTAGGAGAGTCTTCCTGGGGATGTTTTATAAACACGTGCGCGTGCGCACTCTGATCCTGCATTCGTGTATATATTGACCTCTGGTTCTTGGAACTGGAGCTAGCAGTCTGCTTGTTGATTCTGGAATTCATCAGTTTCTACCTCTCTGTGAGCCTGCCATTTGGCCTCCTGCCTTTTGTTTTGGTTTGCAATGAGAACAGATTATAAGCAAAACAAGGGGGAAATGCTATATCTTTCCCTAATCAACTTTCATAATTAGCCAGATGTTAAATCTCCCAACATTTGGGCTCCACCAGAAAATTAACCCATCGACAAACTTTTCTATCCCAAATCATAAAATTTCAGAAAAATTAATTGGAAATCAGAAAAAATTAGAAGGGTAAAATACTTTCATGTTAAAGATAATTACTTTTTATGTATTCATACAGTCCTGGGTGATGTGTTGTTAAACGAGTTACTTATAACACTATTTACCAAAGCAAAACAGCATGAAACAGATAACTTCTTAATGCAACTTATAGAAAATAGAACCTCACCTTTGCATCTATTTCTTCTGCCTTCTCATTGGCTTCTTGTTCAATGAAAGCCATCATGTGCTTTATCTATAAAGCAAAGATTATTTTTGAATTCAGTAAAAAGAAAATGTGACATTTATGTGATATGACTTGTTCAACAATCACATATCATTAAATACTATGTGCTGGGAATTTACATCTGGAATTTTGCTGCCAAACCAAGAGGATACAATACACAGTGTTATTGTTGACGACTATCAAGTCAGGCCTTGACTCATGACAACCTGTATGCACAATGGGGTCAGATCACTATGCTTCATAGGGTTTTCCTGGGCTGATTTCTAGGAGTAAATTGCCAGGCCTTTCTTGCTAGTCAAGTCTACAACTCTGCCAAAACCTACCCAGCATCAGAATTACAGGCACGCCATCACTAACAGATGCAGCCAGCGGCACAGCGGCACAGGAGATACACGGGCTGGGTACTTAAAGGGTCGCTAAAAGGTCTCTCTGAGTCAGAATCTACTCTTGGCAGTGAGATTTGGTCCAACATGGAATGTGAGAATTCTGAAAGGTCAGCAGTTCAAATCTACCAGTTAGTTCTTCTGAGGGACAAAGATGAGGCTTCTGTTTCTGTACAGATTCACAGCCTCAGAAAACCATAGAGACAGTTCTAGTGTGTCTTATGTGATCATTGTAAGTTGGAATAGAGTCGATGGCAACGTCATTTTGTTTGTTTGTTTTATGTTTTAGAGATGAAGTAATTTTTTATCATTTTATTGGGGGCTCGTACAATTCTTATTACAATCCATACATACATCCATTGTGTCAAGCACATATGTACATTTGTTGTCATCATTCTCAAAACATTTGCCTTCTACTTAAGCCCTTAATATCAGCTCCTCATTGTTTGGGTTTTTTTTACTCTCAATGGACTTGAGTCTGACCTCTGCTCCCTCTACCTCACTAAAAGTACTCTTATGAAAAGTACAACCATCTCTTGCCCTAATGTTACATGATAGGTTGACCAGCTCTCCCTTCAACTGTCTCTCCCCTTTGCTTTCCTGACTTCCTCTTTTGGTTACTCCTTCTCAGTCGCCTTTGGGGTCATGCCCTTCCGCTGGACAGCTCTTCTTGGATATCCTACTTCTAATAACCTCAAATTCAACACACTCAATGTTGAACAACTCAATACTCCACTTCTCCCCACTTGATCGCTGTCTGACAGCATCTCTAACAGCACCAAAAGCTCTTTCTTTTCTGGTACTCAATTCTCACATCCAGTCACCAAACTCCACCAAGGCTCTCTTTTCATACCTGGAATCAATTCAATGGCACACCACAATTGTTTGTTAATTTTTTGTATTTCCCCGCCTTCCCGAGCACTTACCTAGTCCTTGTCTCATCAGCCCAGCTGAATTATTCCACAAGCATCCAAATTTGCCTCCGACTCTAGCCTTTTCACTCTCTGACACTGCAACCACAAAGAACTTCCCAGAACACCTATCTTTTCAACTGTCACCCCCACCCAGAGACTTCTCACTGAGCCAGAGGACAAAGTGCAAAGACTGCAGCACTTTGGATCACTTGACGATCCCGCTATGCTTTTCTAGCACCACATGTAATAGGCCTTTGCCAACATGACTCTTCAAACCCTTGGTTCCCGCCATTCTAAACCTACTTCCACTTTTCAGTTCCATGAATTCCTTATTCTCTTTCTCAAGATGTCACACAGACGGCTCTTCCCCTTGTAATCTATTCTTCTTCCTCTTTAGCTACGTAGCGTCTCCACTCAGCCTGCTTAGCTGTCACCTCCTTTCGGAAATCTTCCCTGAATCACTCGGTTAGGTGCCCCTAGGCAGGCACTCTCTATTCCCCGCCAGGGCATCTACGCACAGATTAGTAATTACTTGCTTGCTTGTCCCTATTCTCAATTAAAATATGAGACTAAATTTCAAACAACAACAACAACCCATACACAACTAGACAAACGAAGTCAATTCCAACTCCCAGCGGCAACCCCTGGGTGTCAAGTCGAGCTGTGATCCATGGGATTTGCCCGGCTGCCACTTTTTGGAAGCAGATCACCAGGTCTCTCCTCCAAGTACTCTCTAGGTAGGTTCAGACTGTCAAGAGTTCAGCTAGAAACTCAGCACCACCCAGGGACTCCCAGCTGTAAGGCTGGAAACCTGTTAAGAGGTTTTAGATCGGGTCTTGGGGTGATTAATCTTAGACTTATAAATAAAATACTATCTCTATAACAAACAAAAAATATATCAGGCAACAGAGCTAACTAAACTTGGCAGTGGGACAGGTTAAGTTCCTTTCTCAGAGACTCTACTTAAAAGAAATTATGAATAAAAAATAAATAAATTATGTGAAATAGCCTAGTAAATATGCTGTGGAAGAATGCTCAGGCAATAATGCCCAGAGATACAGCTCTCCAGTAAGAACTGCTCAAAGGCAAGCAATGCTGAATGCAGGCGACGGCATCTTCATTGTAAAAGAAAACAGTATGGTTTAGAAGGGGACAGATTTCTACTTCTATCAAAATCGTTACTCCACTAGTTTTGAAGAGCCAAGATAATTATGATACTCAAAGCCTGTCTTATAGGTAATAAAAGAGGAATAAAATCTCAAGCTTGGATGTACTCAGGGTAAACAAGGTCTAAACTATATTTACAAGGAGCGGGGCATCTCCATAAATTCAGTTTGAAGTCTCACTGAATTTATTCAGCCTGGAATTTTTTAAGTAGCTTAGTTAAATACAATAATTAAAACAGGTGTTTGTAACTGCTACAAAACCCTTGGCCTAGTAAAGGTGAATTGTTTCAGACCTGTGTTATCTGCCTGGACTGCTGATGCAGGTCCTTCCACCACCAGATCTAACTAGATCAGCACAGCTCAGAGAGAAAAGTACTGATTGTAACCCGGGTTAGAGGTGCCAGGCTATTTACAGTCAACAGAACCTATTCTGTCTTTGAAGAGTTTCAAGAAGAGTAACAGCCACCCCTGAAGGACATTTAAAGTCACCCTTAAAAAGGGAATGAATCAATGACACACTCCCCATACAAAATTAGGAACACATACACACAATTTTAAGACAATGAAGATTTATTAAGCACCTACTATGTGCTTGGTACCAGGAACCCCGGTGGCATGTGGTTATGCATTAGGCTGCTTGCTAGTCACAAGGTCAGCGGTACAAAGCCAGCAGCAGCTCCACATTTCAGAAATCCAAGGGCAGTTCAACCCACATTGGAAAACAGAAGTCTCACTCACTGCCGCAGAGTCAATGTTGACTCATCACCACATGGGTTTCGGAGACAAACTGTTCAGGGGAGTACAAAACCCAGTCTTTCTGCGGCAAAACCAGTAGCGATGATGAATGTTTAAAAAAAAAATTTTTTTAATCCACTATTCTGTAAGAATACTGGAAGATTTCCTGAACTTCTACAGATGCTATTTTTTGGTGGTTAAACCTCTTTGTGATTTGTAGACTCATCTAGAATCATTGAAATGAAGAAGTAGCCCAGTCTGCTGGTGCAAATTAGATCAAAAATAAAAATGCAAGTTCAAGGAAATGGAAATTTCCAAGGAAAAAAGTATTTTTATCCCACTGTTCATCTAAGAAGATTCATTAACCTGTTTGCTTTAGTCAGAGAATTTTCCTAGTGCTTCACAAAGTAGGTTTAGTTTTCTAAACTAGTTGGTGGTTAAATAGAAGCCTTAAGCTTCCTCTTCGTAAAAACCTATCTCAAAGACTCTGGTTTTGGATACCTAAGCCAGGTAAAATCAAAGCGATTCTTTCCACACTCATGTTAGTTGCAGGCCTACCAAAGCCACTACCTTCTCGAGAAAGGCATTCTCCATTACAACAGTCCTGAAGTCCCGTCTTGAAGGTACGGCCCATTAAAAAACAACAACATAAAACTGGTTCCCCAGGTCCGAACATACATTTGCTGAGTTGATGTGGGTTCACGACTTCCATGAATAATTCTTCCCATAAACTTTGTACCACCGTTAGGCTCATAAATGTATGAAAAAAAGGTGCACCAACATGTGACAGATATTAACATAGACTAATGGGGAGGGGGTCGGAGCTCATTACAATTCATGATAACCCTCCACAATGAAGGTTAACTGTTCATTAAATGAATGACCTCAAAGTAACATTGGAAGCAGCTCTCTTCCCTTAGCACTGCATCTTTTCTTTCGTTTACTGTGACCCCTTCTCTCAGGGTTCAAAAAAATCAAGGGAAGAGGCTGTTTCAAACGCTGCAAAGACCTCTGCTCTATCAAGCGCTGCCAAATATTCCGGGAAGTGGGGACTGCGCGCTCCAGGAGGCGGCGGCGCGCGGGCCGTTGAGCACTGCAGGGGCACGGGCGAGCGTCTCGCACACGCACCGCCCGCAGATGCGGCTCAGGGAGAAGCCGCGGCCCTGGGAAAAGGACCCTCCTCCAGCCCCTGGCAGCCCAGGGCTCCCCGCCCCTCCCGACCTCCCACCACTCCTGGAACCGGCGCCACGGGCTCGCGGGACCCCGCCTCAGGCCCTCACCTGCTTCTGCACGTCAGCATCGCTGAGGGCCATGGCGAACGCGCTGCTAGGCCGGCGGGCAACGAGCTCGAGCTTCGGCTTGAAGGAAAGGCAAGGAAAGGAACGGCAGAGAAAAGCCGGCGTAGGGCTTGGCTTCCTTCGCTTTATAACTCTGACTTCCGGTTCCTGCCAGGTGACAGCGCAGCCCAGCCCCAAGCACTTCCCCAGCCAGTGGGAAGAGAGCGACGCACAGGAAGTCCCGCCTTCTCCCCGCCCAGCCCGGCCCTTTTTTGACGGCTTCTGCGCAAGACTGCTCTGCTCCGGCTCCTTTGATAGTTGGAGCTCGTGACTTTCGCTGCACTGCTTTCCTGAAATGCCCAGGGCTTTGCAGAAGACAATGAGTTCTTGCATCTGAAATTAGTGATTATTTAACATGCCTTTTTGTGTCCTTTAATCTGGAATAATTACTCAGTTTGGTTGTCTTTCCTGACATTGATATTTTTGAAGAGTGCTGTCCAATTATAGAAACTCACTCAATTTGGTTTAGCCTCATTTAACTCGTCGTTAAATCAGGTTATGCATTGTGCCCTGTACATCATGTCAGCCCCTCACGTTTTTTTACAGCCTTAATAAACCAAAACCTTATGCCCTCGAGTTGATACCGACTTATTAGCGACTGCTTAAGACAAGCTTGAGCTGCCCCGGTGAGTTTCCCAGACTGGAACTCTTTTTCTTTTTTTAAAATCATTTTCTTGGGGGCTCATACAACTCTCTTATCACAATCCATACATACATCAATGGTACAAAGCATATTTGTACATTCGTTACCCTCATCATTCTCAAAAGAGTTGCTCCCCACGTAAGCCGCTGGCATCAGCTCCTCATTTTCCCCCCTCCCTCCCTCATGAACCCTTGAAAATTTATAAATTATTATTTTGTCATATCTT